CACATGCACAGTAGTGGTAACTGGCCGTGGACGTCACAAGACATTATACAGACAGGCTCTGGTATCATGGCTACCTGACAACAGAGCTCAAAGTGTGGGATCATTTTAAGAAAATGAAAGAGAAACCTGTGTAATATCTGCAGAGCAGAACTTACCTTCCACAGCAATTATTTTTAGTTAGCATATAGCTAAAATCTAGCCATGGTTATATAATAGCAGCTGCATTCTGGCACAATAAGCTCTATGTTTTATATTCAATTAACGTTTGATCCGATTAGTGGACTAATCGAAAAAATAATCGGTGATTAATCGATTATTAAAATAATCGTTTGTGGCAGCTCTAGTATCAAGTTATTTGAAGGATAGGAAAYRGTTTGTACAAGTAAATGATGTAAGATCTGACCTTTGTAACATCACATGTGGAGTTCCACAAGGTTCTGTGCTTGGACCAAAATTGTTTATTTTGTATGTAAATGACTTGGTAAATGTGTCGGGACTTTTGAAATGCATTCTGTTTGCAGATGATACAACATTTTTTTGTTTGGGTAAAGACAAAGAGCAAATGATGGGGATGATGCAGATAGAATTTGTTTAAATACAAACTTGGTTTCATCTCAATAAACTATCATTAAATTTAGATAAAACTAACTATATGATATTTTGCAAAAGAAAGAAAACTACTGATGTTCCATTTAAAGTCGGTGATGTTGAAATTTGTAGTCAGTGAAGCAAAATTTCCAGGTGTTTTCATAGATGAAAAGTTGACATGGAGAGCCCACATAGATAATTTAAGAATACAAATAGCTAAATCTATTGCAATATTATATAAAGTAAGAGAGTTATTTAACGATAAATCACTGCATATGTTGTATATATAACACATTAGTTGTTCCGAACTTAGTTTATTGTATAGAAATCTGGGGGAAGGCATGTAAAACTATTATTGTTCACACCAGACACAGATGATTAACAATTTTTACATCCACATGGATGCAGTTAGATAAAGGACGTGCAAAGTTGTGCCAAAATTACTTGAACTGATTCAGCCTTACTGAATGATATAGTGTAACACGCAGAGCGTGTATTTGTACTCAGAGAGGATTTTATGATCCACGATGATGACTGGCAGTCCTCACTAGCTTTAACTGGTTAAAGGCTCTGTCATTCTCAACTGAAGAGGGAAGGAGGGCAAGGACCAGGGGCTTTTTTATGGCTTTTGCAACTTGGCACTGTGGCGCCCTGGGAGCATGACCAGGGGTGGAATTTAAAATTTTTCCCACCAGCCACAGTGGCTGGAAAAAGTTTTGTAGCGGCCACTTAAACTTTTTACCAGCCACTATTTTTTTTTTGTGTAACACGATGGCATTTAGACAATTCGTGGTTTTTGGTGGCCTAATTATATTGTTTGTGCCTACAATCAGATAATGGCACTCAAAATCTATTAGTGTCTTAGTATTCAAGCCAGTCTGTTTGACAAAATTTAAATGATGGACTTTTTGACGTCTCTACTTCTCTTACTAATTTGCTTTTTGCTGGTATGTAGGTGGAATAATTATTTTAGGTAGGACACTTGGCTGGGAATAAAAAGCTTTTAACCTTAATAATATAGGAGAAATTTTCAAGGTGAAAAAGAAAACAAAAATAAGCTAAATTACCTTACAACTAAATTACCTGTGGTAAATTTATCTCCTTCATTTAATAAAATCAGCCTTTGCCTTTTATCACTTGTAGTTTTTGTTCTATAGGCTACTAGTATGAATATGTGTGTTTCTTCTGTTCTAAGTGAGATTTCAATAACAGATGGAAATCCCTCTGATGATCCGTTTTCTCAGAGTGGATCATTTCTATTTTTACTTTGGAAAAAGTTTATGTCACAAGGTTCCACACAGATGCCAGCGCCTAAAGCAGGACAGGAAAGGAGGAGGGGAGAACTTATTTCTAGCTGCAGAACAGGTTGGAAGATGGTTGTTTGATGTTATTTAATGTTTTTTAATGTCCTACAAGCTCTGAAATGCAAAATAAAAATGAAATTGAGTTTTTGAAAAAGGTCAGTAGTGCGATTTGAACACTTTCTTTTTTTAGTTTGGGTGCATTGGGCCTCATGCAAGAACCGTTCGTACACACAGATTTGTTCTTAAGTTGTGCGTACGAGTGATTTAGGAG